ACCTGAGCCAAAGTCAGATGCTTAACCAATTGAGCCACCCAGGTACACTGCCCATCCCCTCCACTGGAGCATCTTTTACGTTTTGTGGAACATAGTTTGAAAACCACTAGGGTAGTGGAAAAAAGTGTAGGCTTTGTGGTTAAAGAGATTGAACTTCATGGTTTGGCTTTGTGATTTACTCAGTGAATATCTGTGTGCACACTGCTTCACCTGAGTCTCATTTTCCCCATGAGTATTGACAGGTGAAATAGAACGTACTTTTCACTGTCACTGTGATGTTTAAATGAGGTGAATTATGTGAGAGTTTACAAGATAGATACTGACACACAGTAGCACATGACAAGAGGTATCCTTCTCTTACAGCGTGACGAGACAGCTGGTCAGAACCATTTGGAGAACCACTTGGCTCTCTTCACTTTTGGTACCCAGCCTACCTCTCAGATCTCGAGTTCACGTATGCAAGAAATAGACAATTTCCATTGGTCTCATCTCTGATTGAGCTCCCATGCCACCTTGTAGTGGGAAACAGAACCAGTCTGGGCATTTCTCCAACCTTCTGGTTGCCCCATTTCTTAGCCTTTTCCTGGGCCAGTAGGAGATCCTCCACTCATCAGGTACCTGGTTCTGAGAACAAACCCATTATCTCAGCCCACATGGGCCCTTCCAGTGTGCTGCTGTGCTGCCAGAGCCCTGGGCCTCCCATTCTGCGATCCTACAATTTTTTAGGGGCAGTGACTGCCCGCTCTGCTCATGACCAGCTTGGACTTCTCTGGCTGCCTAGGAGATCTCTTTGCTCTGGGAGAAGTCTCTTACCTCAAAGTCTCCTCTCTCGATGTACTTAGAGTTCTTTTACCATCACATACTATATTTGTCAATGTTTTTAGCTTTTCTAATACCATAAACCCATGGGGCTAAGAAAAAGGGCTCGTTTTGGGAAGGCACAGCATTGTGGCAATATCTTTGGGTGAAGAAAGAAAGCACGTTTCCAGTGGGCAGAAGTATCCCCATGCCAAGGACGGACAGTTGGGTGTGCTCCAATCCAGAGTGGTCCTCTGTAAAGCTCCCCCATGGCGAGATGGCACAGGATTTATCACAGCCTGAAATGGGAGAAAGGAAATACAAAAATATAGGAAACAACAGAAGTCAAAGCTCCAAAACATACCTTGCTACATGTGTTTGGGTTTATTTTACGTAAGGAGAGAATAAGAATGAGGATTTAAAGGCCAATAAAAGGCTTGAATATGTATGCTCCTGAAAGAATGTTTGGAAGACCACGGTTGTCTCAGTATTTGTTACTGAAACAGTGACTTAAAGTCCTCATTAGTCAGTGGCCTGCTTTTGTCTGACTTTTAGCAAAATCTGTAAGGATGACAAGGAGAGACCCTCTTGGAAATGAAGTTTTTCTATTTGCTGTGTATTTTCTTTATCCTAAATCATAATCTGTCAGATGTTTCTTTTTGTGTTACTGCTTTCTTTCCTAAACTGAGGTTTGTTGCAATTGGACAAACAAAGTTCATCTTTCAGTTCAATATATCGGATTTCCAAAACACGTATTTTATTTTCTACTTGGGCTATTCAGATCATTTGTAAATGCAAGGATTAACAAACCTCCAATAACACAGTGTCCTGATGTTGGTCTCTTGAGAAAGTCTTTTGCCTCAAGAGTTCATATGCTTCTAAAGTGATTTAGTTGACAGACCTTAAACTGTTTGGTGTATTGAAAACGTTCCCTAGAAACTATAACAGTGTGAACGTTTAAAAAATGTCCAGTAACTTTAATTGAATCATCTAAACTTTTATAATAAGCAGATTTAACTTCATTTCATCAGAGGGAAGCTTTGGCTTTCTTGATATCATTTCCTGAGTTTCCTTTCCTATGTGACTGAAGCTCAAAAGACTGCTCCACCTTGTCCAGATCTAATTGAAAGCCAAAGCATCTTAATCATAATATTGTGTTTCACGATCCTGGCTCACTTAATTTTTGGAAGAAATGGTGGTAGATTGGGAATTTCAGTAGGATGAAGCCAGTCTGGCTTATGACTTGGTTGTTTGGGGCCAATTAGACAAGAAGATTGAACACAGCAATTTGAGGATTTTAGTAATACATGCAGACAAGATGGATGTTATGAAAACCTCTTTTTCCCCCCTTGAAACAAGAGCAATGTTTTTCCTTGAATTTTTCATAACATCACTAACTCTTAACTTGGCCTTTGTAGAATTTGTTGCATATGAAGGAGATTTTTATGGAAAACTATGATCCTCTGCAGATTTTATGTATTAAAAAAAGAAAATATTTGAGATTGTAGAAAAATGAAGAACAACTAGAATCGATAGATAAAAACAGTGTACAGTAATATAAACTAATGATATGTGCCTGTAGGATCAGTTTTTATTCAGATACTACTAATTTTTGGTTTGTTATTTAGATTTTCTATCTTCTTAATTTGGCTTAATTTTTTTCTGTGTGAATTATATAAATTAGAAAGTCTGCTGTTGGGATCTATTTTATTCAGTCTTTAGGTAGTTGCTAAAACTCAAGAAAGAATAGCCATAGATTGAGAGGAGGTTCTGGAACTTAAAAAATATTTATTTTTAAATTTATATACAGTGAAATTAACTATCTGTGTTGCACATGTCTATAAATTTTGGCAAACGCATATTCATGTAATCACCACCATGGTCAGAAAACAGAACAGTTCCGTCACCCCCAACAAAATTACCTCATGGTGCCCATCTGTAGTCAACCGTTTTCCCCATCCTTACACCCTCTTCTCTGTTCCTGTAGTTTTGCCTTTTTCAGAATGTGATTACAAGTTGCCTGTGTTGTTGCATGTGTCAGTAGTTCATTCCCTTGTATGGCTGAGTAGTGTTTTCTTGTGTATCACCCTTTATCCATTCACCAGTTGAAGAACATTTGGGTTGTTTACAGTTTGGGGCAATTATGAACAGAGTTGCATGCAGGTTTTTGTGTGAGCAGAAGTTTTTATTTCTCTTGGGAACATACCTAGGAGTGAGGTTGCAGGGTCATAAATAAGTGTCTGCTTAACTTTATAAGAAACTATCGAACTGGTTTCTAAAGTGGCTCTGCATTTTGCATTCCCACCAGCATTGTGTGAGTGATCCAGTTTTCCCCCATCCTGGACAGTTTTTACGTTAGCAGGTTGTTTGTGGGCTCTTTTGTTTTTGCCATTCTAATGATGTATAGTGATGTTTTACTGTTTATTACTTACATTTTCCTAATTAGTAGTGATGTTGAGCATCTTCTCATGCAGTTACTTTCCATCTTCATACGTTCTTTGGTGAATTGTCTGTTCAGATCTTTTGCTTGCTTTTAAATTGTTTTTTTTTTCCTTACTGTTACATTTTGAGGGCTCTTTATATACAAGTCCTCTTTCACATATGTGATTTTCAAATATTTTGTCTCTGACTGTAGCTCGTCTTTTTATTCTCCTGACGGTGTCTTTAACAGAGCAAAATTTTTTAATGTTGATGCAGTCCAACTTACTTTTTCTTCTGTGGATCGTGATTTTAGTTGTCATGTCTAATAACTCTTTGTTTAACCCTAAGTCACAAAGATTTGCCCCTATGTTATCTTCTAGAAGTTTTATAGTTTTGGGTTTTGCATTTAAGTCTATGATCCATTTTGAGTTAGTTTTTAAGATGTGAGGTATGGATCAAGGTTCATTTTTTTGCTTTACAAATGGATGTCCACTTGTTGTAGCACATTCTTTGAAAATGCTGCCTGTCCCTTTTGATTGCCTTTAAGGTGCTGAAGGTATTTAATTCAAGAAATTATGCTCTACTTTTCCATAATAACTCTGGTTGTTAAGTTGTCTGATTATTATTTGTATTTTTATCATCTATCCTAAACTTTCCAGAGAGAGTTCTAAATTTTGCAACGATATCTTAAAACAAAATTATCATTTGATTCCTTTAAAATAAAAAAAAATCTGGGGGGTGCCTAGGTGGCTCAGTCGGTTGAGCATCTGACTTCAGCTCAGGTCATGATCTTGCGGTTAGTAAGTTCGAGCCCCGCATCGGGCTCTGTGCTGACAGCCGGGAGCCTGGAGCCTGCTTCCAATTCTTTGTCTCCCTTTCTGTCTCTGCCCCTCCCCCGCTCATGCTCTGTCTCTCTCTCTTTCTCAAAAACAAACATTAAAAAAAATCTGGGTGCCTGGGTGGCTCAGTCAGTTAAGTGTCCGTCCACCTCTTGATCTGGGCTCAGGTTGTGATCTCATTCTTGGTGAGATTCAGCCCCACATTGAGCTCTGCACTGGCAGCGGGGAGCCTGATTGGGATTTTCTCTCTCCCTCTCTCTCTGTCCCTCCCTGGCTTGAGTGCACTCTCTTTCTGAAATAAACATAAAAAAAATCAGTGCAGTATAGTATTTCAGGGGTATGGAGGTAGAAAATGTGGTCAATCGGCTCTTTCCAGATTGGCATTTTGTAAAATACCAGAAAAGTACTAGATCTGGTGACAGAAGACACTGATGCTTCTCTGAGCCCTGCCCAGCCATGTTACCTTGGGAAAGTCACCTTGTTTCTCTGGCTTATGTTTATCCACAAGAAGGGGGAAAACCAAATCATTTCCAAGACCTATTTCAACTCAGAAAGCCTTGATGCTATTCAGTATTGATAGAACCTCAAAAGGATTAGAAACCATGGAGCAAGGGCAGGTCTCTGACATTTTATAATTTCTGTCATTGCTGAAGTACCTGTTTGCATGTGGCTCTGAGTGCATTCAACTATTTGTGTAATGGTGACAGAGACTCACACTATGACTGGAATGCAGATCTCATGACTCTTATTAAAAGGGTTTGTAAGAATTTACATTACAAACAGAATGCTTTCTCTTTTGTCTCAACAGCTGGACCAAGCAACTCTCTCCCTAGCTGTGAGGGAAGATTACCTCGATAATAGCACAGAAGCCAAGTCTGTAAGTTTTACCCATGTTGAACTCTGCACCTTGTCAGACTGTTGTTGGGTTCATAAATTGTTGTAAAATCCCTGACTCTTTACTGGCCATGAGCAATGTGACTATTGGATGACCATATTCCCAGTGCAGGAAACAGAGGTGTTTTATTCAGGCAAACAAATGGCATTCCCTGTCTTTTGGAAGTCTGGGCATCAAGGCTCAGTGTCCTGTTGATCAAGCTGGGGATACAGCACACCCGAATGAAGTAACCAAGAAATGAGCTTGCAGTCAAAACTGTAGACAGCTCACTCTACATTGCAGAAGTAAAGTGGTGGTGGTGGTGGTGGGGGTGTTAACTGTGTTGACATAGTTAACCAGTGGTTCTCAAATTGTATGGCTTAAGAATCATCTGGGAACTTCCTGTTGAATGTTGATTCCTGGGCTGCAGCCCAGGAGAGTCTGATTTAGGAGACTTGAAGTGGGGCCCAGGAATCTGTTTTCCTAACAGGTGCCACAGGTTAATGTAAGGTTAATGAGAACTAGATGGGATCAGTTCCGATAGACTTCTTGGGTTGGCTTGGAAACCTGGTAGGTTCTTGGAGATAGGAGTAGCGCTGCGTCACTCCTGACACTTTCAATTCACTTTGGAAACTTGGTTGAACTTCCAAAGGACCCTCAGATCCAGGGGACCCTTGACTAGGGAGTTCACTGGTTTCTGGGCCAGCCTAAGAATGTAGGAACTTAGAAGTGTTGGCTCACAATGGAAGTCCTTGCATCTTTGCTGATACTAAATCCTGTAAACGGAAGGTTCTGAATGAAGGGCAGGAAGCTAGGTAAGATCTTCAGCAACTAACTTTCTTTGTGAGGACACTTATCAAAGAAGGTTGTTTTTTGTTGTGTTTTGTTACGGTTTTTGTTTGTTTTTTGAGAGAGACAGCACTCACGGGGAAGGGGCAGAAAGAGAGGAAGAGAGAGAGAATCCCAAGCAGGCCCCATGCTGTCAGCATAGAGCCTGATGGGGGGCTCAAACTCACAAACTGCGAGATCATGACCTGAGCCAAAACCAAGAGTCAGACACTTAAAAATCTCTGTTTAATCTCTGGTCCCTCCTTTCTATTTTTAGTGCCTTAGGTCAGATCCTTGTTAACTCTCGACTTGACTACAATAAGTAGCCTTTTAACTATTACCTCCTCCTATTCATTTCATTGCCTCCTTAGCACCACTGGACAAGACCCCTTCTCAAAATACAGCTCCCAGCATGCTTCTGCTCATGCGCTAGGCTCTGAGTTCCTTAGAGGGATTTCAAGGTCTCTTCATGACATGATCCCAAAGCACTTTTGCTGTCTGATATACTTTTACTTTTGCCCCAACAAAGGCATCTTACTCAACACACAGGAGGACTCTTCACTGCTCCTGAATCTGTCTCCTTCAAGTGCGCTGTGCCGTTTTTTCCAGGCTGGAATTCTTCTTCAGTTCTTGAGTTTGCAAACCCTCAGCAGCTTTGTTAAAGAACTTATTTTTGTCTCTCTAATGTTACAGTTAATAATTACATGTTTATCTCCCTCCCTGGATCACACATTGAGAACCCAGACTCATGCATTATGTAATTTTTCATCTGTACCCCCCATAAGCACCGAATGCCTAGCAAGACCTTTTATACATGTATTGATTGACTAAATAATTTCTTAAGTTGAACTGGGAATTAGAAAACATTGTTTCTAATTAAGACTATTAGCAAAACTTGCTTACTGATTAACAAATATTTGTTAAGGCTCTGCTATATGCAAGCACTATATTGGTCTCAAGGTCATAAGTGTCTGTTAGGAAGAAATCTTAGTCCCATAACAGAACTATGAGATAATTTATTATGTGGGGTTTTGAGTTCTCACAAATATATCTGAAAGGAGAGATGACCCTCAACAAACTTCCACAGTTCCCACAGAGTAGGGTCCCTCTCCAATGACCTGTGAATAGCCTGAAAATGGGTATATGAACATGCAAGGAGGAAACTGCGTATATGCTGTTTGCTGGGTTTCTCTTTATCATTCCTCTCTTCTCTTCTTTGTTCCCTGAGCAGTGAGGAAAACTTTGTAAAATCCATACAAAATTTAAAGGACAGGGCTGCAATCACAGGTCTTTAATTTCTTAATGTGAAGGTGGGTAAATTGAGCCAGAAGAGAATAAATCACAGTTTCCACTAGTCTTCTTGGATCATGCCTCCTGCTTTTAGCAACAGTTCTTTCCCATTATTTTATTAAAGCCTCACTTGCTTGGAAAGAGGAGTCTGACCTTTAGCTTTCTATTCTTGGCTCATTTGAAGATGTTTCATGTATCCATAATATCACTGGTTGCCAGAAAACTAGTTCTCTTGACCCTTGGTGGCTGGACATCTCTGTCTCTCATGGAAACAGTACACAAGTAGCTGTACTCTTCTTTCTCTCAAAGTGGTAGGTGGGTGGTTGGTATTGCCGAATGCCTATACTATACTTTGAGTACAGAGTGAAAATGAAGAACATTTATTTCCACCTGCTGTTTCTGTCTTTCCGTGTCCCTGAAACATACTTTTGAATAGGCTCTTGTCATGGTCACTTGCTTCTTTATCTCTTGTAGTATCGGGATGCCCTTTACAAGTTCATGGTGGATACTGCTGTGCTTTTGGGAGCTAATAGCTCCCGAGCAGAGCATGACATGAAGTCAGTGCTTAGACTGGAAATTAAGATAGCCGAGGTAAGTCTTAATGTGAAATCTCTTTCTTATTTTCCCCCTTATTTTAAAAGAAGTATGTCACGAGTGAAAATAAATATAAAAACAGCATTCTGTGGCATTGTCCTTTGGGTCCAAGGTATAACTAATAGCATCCCTTCTGGGAAGTAACAGGAAGAACCATGACAGAGAGAAGAGCTCTTCACTCCTTCTATCTCCCTGCTTGAAGCCCAAAGTCCAGATGCTGCTCAGCTGTGGCCAAAGAATAGCACCAGGGAGATCCTCTATGTTTTCCTAAAAAAGACTCTGTGTGGTTCCTATAGAAGAATAGTTGGTTAATAAATCTGTATGGATTTGGCTTGAGGGAAGCTTATTTTTTTAAAGTTTTTTATTTATGTTTGAGAGAGAGAGAGAGAGAGAGAGAGAGAGAGAGAGAGAGAGAATGAATGAATGAATGAATATGAATGGGGGACGGGCAAAGATAGAGGGAGACATAGAATCTGAGACAGGCTCCAGGCTCTGAGCTGTCAGCACAGAGCCCAACCCAGGACTCGAACCCACGAAGCACGAGATTATGACCTGAGCCGAAGTTGGACACTTAACTGACTTTTTAAATCCAGTCTATTCTTTATATCATTCCTACTCAGGATCAGTCTGACCTAAAATTGGGGCTTTGGGAAGTCTGTGTACCCAAACTAGATATTTGATACATAATTTGATGTAGAAAGTGTATAGGGCATGCTGCTAAGCATTTTTTAGCTGCTTTCCTGGTGCTACCTTGTACCTAATCCTGTTTTTTATTCTTCTCTTGCCACATGTAAATGCTATGTTCTGTGTAAGTTACTTTAAGTTCTTTCACGTTCAGGGTAGAGACCTAGGAACAAACTTGAGGGAGAACAATGAGAAATCCTCAGTGGTTAGCTTTGTTCAGAATATAACTTCTTTTCGGGGCACTTGGGTGGCTCAGTCTGTTGGGCATCAGACTTGGGCTCAGGTCATGATCTCGCGGTCCGTGAGTTCGAGCCCCATGTCGGGCTGTGTGCTGACAGCTCAGAGTCTAGAGCCTGCTTTGGATTCTGTGTCTCCCTCTGTCTCTGCCTCTTCCCTGCTCACGCTCTGTCTCTCTCTGTCTCTCAAAAATAAAAATAAATGTTAAAAAAAAGAATTAAAAAAAAGAATATAACTTCTTTTGTAGAAGAAGCAAAGTATTAAATCCCTATGTGTTCTCAGGACCAGAGGGAGCAAATGTAAAATCTGCTTGTGGGGATACCTTGTAGTGGACAAAAAAATGATACTTTTATCAAGAAGATCTTGCATATGGAGTATAGTCTTTTATAATAGAAGTTGGTAAAAATATGGAGTTGCATGTGAGTCCAAGTGCTGCTTGGTTTGGTGTTAGGCAAAGTGGTGGTATGGTGTTCAGGTATGGAGTAGGGATAATTGATAAGGGTCAGGAGGATTTCTTTTCTCTCAGCTGAAGTGATGTACTTGTTACCTCTCTCCAAACTCCTACTTACAGAACAAAAAGTTCATTCCTGCAGTTACCTTTGAAGAGTGTGTGAAGACGGCTGCAGATGTTGTGGAGTCAAAGACTGGGCCTCTAAGTCATGTCTAGAGGCCATCTGGATTCCCTTCCCAGGCAAATAGGAGACCCAAAGCTCTAATTTGGACTGAACCTCTGATATAGGGGGAGAAGGCCTTGCCCTGAGCCAGGGATTTGGACCAAAAAGGGAACTAAAAACAGCTGGGTTGAGGCAAGACTGGGAATTGTTGAGAGGCTAAATGAAGTGACAAGTCCACAGGGTGGGGGGAAGTAGTTGGCAGAGAGCTGAAAACAGCTCTGAGGCCAAAGGGCTTCAGTCTGGGGCTGTGAGTCCTAGTAGAGAGGGAGGAGAGACATTCTCTGAGGCAACGACGATTCAGACAGATCCAGGAAGGTGTTTGTAAGATTCATGAAGTCTCTCCTGTGGAGGGTGAGGAGGGAGAAGCTGAGGGCACTGAAGCATTTAGAAAAGAGGGGGCCGATGTCGATCACTCAGCCCTGTGTGATTTTGTCTTGAAAAATCTATGGTGCATGGATTTTTGGCCAGCCAGTAACTCTCACCTCCCATCTTGTACACGCCTAGGTCATTCAAAATTAGTGGGACACATAGTACTAGGGAAACTTCTGGATCTGGGGAGACAGGACAACCTAGCCAAGCACAAAAAGTCCGTATCAATCTAGCCATGCAAGTGTTCATTTAACCAGTACCAGCTAGAAAGAAGTGTGTACAAAGGGAGGTCTTGTTGATGGAGTGGCCCTTGTAATTAGAGTGAAGTAGAGTTTAATTGGGAATGATTGACAGAGAAAATGAATGTTGGGCAAAGTTTTGAATCATAGTTCAAACTATGGGAGTGGTGATGGTGAATGGGGGTGCCAGGGCAGGAGAGTCCTGCATGAGACGTGAGGTAGGAGGTAACAAGTTTAATGCAAGGGAGTCAGATGATGGAGGGCCATATGGCAAAAGCATGACGTGGTTTAGGGCTATGGGGAGCTACTTCCTGTCCATGGAAGTGATTAAGGTGGCCCTTGAGGAAGATAATCATTGCTGCTCTTCTTAGATTCATCACAGCAGAGGCTAGAAGCTTAGATTTGGTACTGGCACAGTGGCCAAGGACCTGAGTATTGGGAGTAGAAAGTGTGTGAAGAATCAAGGCCGGACATATAGACTTAGAAATATGTATTTGAGTGGTAACTGAACTCATTCCCCGAGCAGTGGTGACAGGGGAATCTCAAGGCCAGAGAAAGCAGAGGAAAGAGGAGAGGGGAGATAATGAGCTGTGGACAGAATGATCACAGATGGCAGTGGTATCCTGATAGTCCAGTGCTCTTTAGTGAAAATAGGCTCCGAGGGATGAAGGGATGGTCTGTGGTTCACGAGCTATTCGGATCATTATCTGGATACCACGGGTGAAGCTGGATGTGTGTCTTAGTTGCCTAATCTCACTTTGGCTATCAAACCTGAGCCAGTAATAGATTTTTGTCCAACCACATTACAAGTGAGGAAAGGATTTGGGAAGTTGTTTTTATGGTGAGGACAGTGTTTCACACTGAACAGGACAGGAAAGTTTCTTTTTATTATTGTAATGCTAATTTTGCCTAAAGTGATGTCCACCCCCCCCCCCCCAAGTTCAGCACTGCACCGAAATCTTGAAAACCTTTATGATACTAGGCAGATGTTTTGGCACATGTAGAAAGTAGTCATGCATCAAGAAATGGTTTGTTTGAAAAAATAACCAAAGCCTCTTTCCAACAGATAATGATTCCACATGAAAACCGAACCAGTGAGGCCATGTATAACAAAATGAACATTTCCCAGCTGAGTGCTATGATTCCTCAGGTTGGTGAAAATGATCTAGGAAATTTTATCTTAACTGGTCATTTTACGAGTGACTTTGCATCATGTGTGTGTAAACTTTTGCCTTGTGAAACCTACCACTCTTATTGGTTATCATCCTATTTGTCACTCACCACATAGGATATCCTTTGTGCCTCAGGATGCTTTCTTTTGTAGGAAACAGAAAACCTTCCCAGGAGTGGCTTAAAAACTTAAAGCCCATTTTCTTACATGACAAAAGTCTAAACGTAGGTGGCTATTGGTATTGCTCTTGCTGGCTAACAGTGTTGTCAAAGACCAACGTTTTGTTCTTTCCACTCCACTCTCCTAAGTCTGTTGGCTTCTTGACTTCCTGTGTGATGACTCATGGCTGTGAGGTGACTGCCACAGCCCCACGTTTCACACCTGCCATCAGGTCAGGAAGAAAGGGGAAGGGCCAGGATAGCCATGTCTGTCTCTTTTAGCAGGAAAAAAAAAAAAAAAACAACTACGAAGCTTTTCCAGGATATTCCCACATATCTTCCCTTTATTTCTTGAGTAAGATTGGGAACCATGGCCATCCCTTGCCTACAGGGGAGGCCACAAGTGACTAACTGGTTTTCCATTTCAATAGTGGATACAGGAAAGGGAGGAAAAAAAGAAAAAGACAAGAAATGACTTTTGGGGTAGCCGGTTAAAAACACCAAGTTAGTGATGCTCTGAAGAGGGGACACATGTTACTTGTTGTTGCTCCCTATTTTTCCCTGTGTAACAAAGGCTGCACCAGAGGGGAGGCCAGTAGTATGTGGGGCATCTGTGTGTGGACACAAGTGAATGGGGGCAGGGGGCAGGGGTGAGGGTAAGCACAAGGATGGAGTGTGTGGGGAAAGGAATGGGAGGAAGGAGTCCAGGTGGGGGTAGAGAATGAAGGAGGGAGAGCTAAGGAGAGAGGGAGGGTGCCGGAGGGGCCAGGGAGTGAGTGACTGTGCCTGTCACCGTGTGAGGGGGTGTGCTGTCTGGGCAGATGGTACAGAGCACGTGTGGAATCTATGATTCAGGCAGTAGGTCTGGGTGGCAGTGACCAGTCATTTCTTTTGTAGATTTGAGCAGTTACATTTCTAACTTTGGTCACAAATCCATTACAAGCGATGGACTATGTTCAGCCAACTATATTTGCCTTTCTCCTTGGTTGCTGCCCAACAGGTGCTCTCTCAGTCGATGTTTTTCTCTCCTCAGTTTGACTGGCTGGGCTACATCAAGAAGGTCATCGATTCTAGACTCTACCCAGGTCTGAAAGACATTGACCCTTCAGAGAACGTGGTTGTCCGTGTCCCGCAGTACTTTAAGGATTTGTTTAGGATATTAGGCTCTGAGCGGAAGAAGTAAGAGCTTTCTTTTGCATTTTATTGTGACTTTTGTTTTTCTTTTTACATTATAAAGCCTTTCCTCTAATATCTTTGGTATAACTGTTGTTAAAGAAAGTTACATCAAAAGAGTCTTAGGGAAAATCGTGGTGCCCTTTGTGACAAATTGGCCAAAATGATCATCTGATGTAATTTACTTGCTGTGATAGCAGCAAATACACAATGTTTTTGCTCCTTATTTCTCATCTTTCTCCATATTTTCTGTCTGAAAACCTAAATTGTTCCCTAGTTTTGGGAACTAGTTATATATATTATTTTCTGAGCTTTCTATATGAATATCTTTTTTTTTCCCAGTTCATTCTTTGTCCTTTGCTGCCTTTTTTTTTCCTGGTTTCTGTTTAGCCTTTAAGCCCCATTGTTGCAATATTACTGAAGCCCCTGTGCTGAATAAGAGTACTCTGACAGCCATGGAAAAATTGGATGGATGAAACAACTTCAGGAACTGTCTGGTTTTCTTTATTTTAAAGCATGTTTTAGAATTTGTTGCTTTGCTACTTCAGCACTACAAAACAAGGAAATCCTGAAATCGCCCGTGAAAGAGAATTGTACATCTTGATGAAGCCATTCAGATTTGACTACAGAAGATGAAGCACAGAATGGTCAAGTCATTTTCAAAGGCAGTTTACTAGGCTAATTGCCAGGCCATAATTAAAAATCATATTTTCTTATTTGGACTCAGACAAGGCTATCTTGCCGGGACTTATGTTAAAAAAGAAAAGATGCCTGCAGAAATCCTAGAAATAAACTTCAGCATCCATCCCTACTTGTGGGAACACTTCAACACTTTGGAAGAGCTGCTTTTCCTTTTAAGATGATATTTTCTCATGATAGAGGGAATATGTGTTCATTGAGGAAAGTATACAGAAAAGGGAGAGAAGAGATAATAAATCTACTGAAAATTCTGCCACTTAGAGATAAGCAGTGATCCTATGAAAATTTTCCAAGTGAAAGTTGACTCTAGAGCTAGGTAAGTGTCTGTGTGGGGTGGAGACTGGCTATTCAAGGTGTGCTCCCTAGACCAGCAATGCTGGCAGCATCACCTTGTCACTTGGGCCCTTTGGGCCCCTCCTCCACAGGGGCTGGTGCAGTAGTTCTGAGGCAAGTCCCCAGAATCCGTATTTCAAAGAGAACCCCAGGAGAGTCTTTCAGTTAGTGGTTTGTTTTTTTTTTTTGGGGGGGACTCTTACCATTGCAGGATTTTTACCTCAGTACCCAGGGTTCACTGTGTAGCTGCTTCAGAGAATGAAGAGGTGGACACCAAATAAAATTAGCAGCAGGCAAAAGTTTATTAAAAAGCCAGAATAGCAAAAGTAAGAATAGCACAAAAGCTCTCTTTCCGGAGAGGGGGCATTTGAAAGTGAGGACCCCTGACTATGGGCAAAGGACTTTATTTTATGGGGTTTTGGTCCGTCCCTCCCCACTTTTTTTCTTTGTTGGCCTGATAACTGTAGGTGCTGAGTTGTTCATTTCTGTGGGAAACATGACAGGGGAGTAGGTAGTGTTTGTTACAATTTTAAGAAAAACTTTAGATCTGAGGGAGCTTTTCTCATGGTCAGTCCTGAAGGAGTTTTTCTCATGGTCAGACGTTCCCAGCACTGTTTTAAAATATATATATTTTTTTCTACATTCAGAGATCTCAAGTCCTAACCTTTCCCTCTCTAGCTATTTTACCCTATCTTTCCCCATCATGTCACTACCTTTGAAGACTTATTCATGTTAACCACCATTATGATTAATAGTTACCTTTGATCTTTTTTTTTAATGTTTTATTTGTTTTTGCGAGAGAGAGAGAGAGAGAGAGAGAGAGAGTGAGCGCGTCAGTGGGGGAGGAACAGAGAGAGAGAGGGAGACACAGAATCCGAAGCAGGCTCCAGGATCTGAGCTGTCAACACAAATCCCTACGTAGGGCTCGAACCCACAATCCGTGAGATCATGTCCTTAGCCGAAGTCAGATGCTTAACCAACTGAGCCACCCAGGCACCCAAATAGTTATCTTTGATCTTAAAAAAAAAAAAAAAAAACAAGTCTTGTTCCCACTTTACAGATGAAGAAGCTGAGGGAAAGGGATTTCTGCAGCACATACCTTGATGCAGAGGTAGAGCTGAGATTCTAAACTGGGCCACCCTCATTTCTACGTCCTGTCTCTTACATACATGTCCCTGTATGGAAAAGAGACCCTTTTCAGACATTTCACTGCTAGTTTTGGAGATAGTTCCCCTGGCATTTCCTGGTTAAAGGCCATCCTGGGTTGGTATCGGCTGGTCATTGCTCGACTGCTGCTTCCCCTCTTACAGCATGCCCCCTGGCAGCCTCGTGGTATTAGGGTTTTCCTTCTGACCCAATGGCTGTGGGGGCAGTGGCACTTGCTCCCTGGCAAATGATGGTGCATGGTGCAAAACTAGAGCAATGGCATCTCCCAGAGGTGGTGCCAGAGGCTGCATTGGCCCTTGCAGTTCAGGGAGTCAGTGGCCAGGGCAGGGCCATTTGGAGGCACAAGATGGAGGCTGTCTGTAGTGAAAAGGAGTTGGCGGTCAAGGTGGAAGGGGTGAAGACGCTGTGATGTGCTAGGTCCCTCAAATTATGCCTGTCTCTTCCTAGCTCACTATTGAGTGATCTCATGTGAACAGTTTGAAATCAACTCTGGTGGGAATATTCACACCATGGAAATCGGCAAATTCTACAAAGCAAGTGTTTTTTTCCCCCCCCCTCTTGGAAAGCCAGTTGTGAAACATTTACTAGTATGTCACTGGTTGAGAGGTGCTGCAGATGTCCCTCCCCTTCTGTCCTCCCATCAGATCTCTCCCAACTCCAGACCTGCAGCTACCTCAGACAATCAACCATCTAATTTGGTCTGAGGAGCAAAATGGAAGGAGGGGAGAGGCCGAGGAAGGATGGGTTTATAGAGATTTTTCTCGGGGTCTTCCTGGCAAGACCTGGTCTCCTAGAGATCATCTGCATCAGTGCTTTGTTTTGTTTTGTTTTGTTTTTTAAGCAGGCTGGCCTAAAGCAAACCCTTGGAGATTTTGCCAAGCCTCTGTGATCTTTCCTGTCTTCAGTATTAGTTTAATATAAAGCAAGCACGGTGTACAGTGAGATGATTTTTAATGAACATAGGGTCGTAGAGGCTGACCTGGAAAATGTGTTGTTATGTGGACCTCTTACAGGGCTCAGCGCTGCTGAGGGTGATCTAGGGCCTTGTTGCTCAAAGTATGACCCATGGAGACCAATATGGGCCTGGACTGAGAGTTTGTTAGAAATGCAGAAATCAGGCTCCACTCCAGACCTGCTGCAATTTAGTAAGATCCCCAAGGGATTCATATACACATGAAAGTTTAAGAAGCACTGATCTGGGATTTAGAAAGTCCTAGTTTAGCTGTGTTTGCAGAAAGATGAGGAGATAGAGTTTTCCTAGACCAGTGGTTCTCAAGCCTGACAAGCATCAGCAGTCCCTGAAGGGCTTGTTAAAATAGACTGCTAGGTCCCATCCCATAGCTCTGATTGATTAGATCTGAAGTGAGGCCTAGGGATTTTCTATCAAGTTCTCAGGTGATGCTGTAGCTGCTGGTCTGGGGGCACACTTTGGAACCACTGCCTTAAGTGTACCTTTGAGCAGCCTCTAGGATTTGGGAAGATCTCTTTGGCTTTGAGAAGCTTTGAGAAGAACCTGTTTGGCTTACCTCAGGTAGTTTGACTTAGAGGACCTGAAGAGCAAATGTTAGTTCTGGATTTGCCACGTAATTGCTAGTCCCTTGAACTCTGTTTTCTTTGTTTGATAATGAGGATAATAACCATCCCCTAGCATTGTCATGAGGATCAAAAAAGGCACTTAATGCTGTCTTAAATGCAAACAAATGTAAGCTGTCACTAATTGACAAAGGACAGCAAAAGCTTCTTCAAAAATCTCTTCCCAGTCAGAGGCTTTGGGAAATTATTTCATGTTGCGCTCTCAATGGCGGGATCTCTCCCGAGATGTTTTACTTTCCTCTGTTTTATTTATTGCCATTTGGGGAAATTACCATGCTGCTGCAAATGCTTTTTGAAAAAAAAAAGATATTATGTATTATTTTGAAGGACTGTTGCTGAATCTGATTTTTGTTTTGTTTTTTGATATATGTGAGCATTAGGTGGCAGTGATTCAGTCATTACGGTCAGATCTGTTTCTGGCGTGGTAATATTAGCACTGGAAAGCTGCGCTTCTAGCACTCCGTCGGTATATTTATAAAGCACTGGAGCAGCTCATCAGCACCATTGTCTTGCTGTGCGAGCTTCCCTGCACTCCATCTTCCAGCTCACGGAGGTCTTGTTACACTGTCGTCTTAGTAAAGCCTTGCCCATGAAGGCCTCACACGCTGTTCCTTTTTCGCACCCACAGATTTCTGCAAAGCATTTGGGGTCTTTTGACTGGCCAGGAAATCTTTGTTGAATTAGAGGCATTAATTTATCACTGTGTAGCACGGGAAAAGCACACAGGCTTTCAAGGTAGACACACCTCTATATGGTCTGGCCTCCATTGCTTATTACACTGGTTCTCCACCTTGTTTGCACATTGGACTCAGCTGGGGGAAACTTAAAAACATTATTTATGGTGGATCCCACCCTATATAGAGGTCCTGACTTCATTGGTCTAAAGTGGCCTAGCATTTATGTGGACTTTTTGAACCCCTCAAGTGTTCGTACCAAGTTGGAGATGCACTGACTATGTGGTCATGAGGAGTTACTTAATGGTTCTAGGCCTCAAGTTTCTTTATATGTAAGATAGGCTCAAGAACACCTCTCCTATAGTGGCAGTGCCCCTGCTTCTCAAACCCCAGCATACTTGCACCGCACTGCTTCTTCAGCAACCACCGTCAGGCCTATCTCAACAACCTCCCCACTGAATCTCACTCATCATTGTCCCACGAAGGGAGTACCTTCTGAACTCATGTAAGCGTATCTGCTGGCCACAGACCTCCTTCTACTCTTCACCTGCGGATCCAGCACAGCTCTTGTGCCTAGGGGAAACGTGGAGACCTGGCGTTGGGGTCAGTCAGGCTCGCCTCCTTTGACACTCGAGACACTGGGCCCTGACTGCTGCCTGCCTTGTCTTCTCTGTGGCCAGACTTTGTGCCTGTCTCTGCGAGTGATGACCCTGCTCACCATTTTCTCCAATACACAAGCAATTCCTAATTATTTAGCCCATCCGGAGTTCATGATCCTGCCTCACAGTCCTATACCTTCTAGTCTTTAGGCACAGCTCCATCCCTGTTCCTCTCACAAAGCTGAATCTTTTTTTAATGTTTATTTATTTATTTTGAGAGAGAGGGAGAGAGAGCTCATATATTTGTTCAAAATGTTTTGAAATAGTCAAGACAGCCATATGAAGTGTGGCTTTATATCCACGTAATTGTTGTATTAGCCTAATCTATGTCGATAATGTGTCTTGAAGAATTAACTAATAGCATTTGAAGGATTAATTAATGACTTTTGAAAATACCTATTCATTTTATCTTTTGAAACTCCTATTTCTGTATTTGTTAAAAACATTCTTAATATGTTATTCCATTAGTATATCTCTATGTAAATTAAAATAACTATTTTTTAAATATTTATTTTTGAGAGAGCGAGCGAGTGACCAGGGGAGGGGCAGAGAGAGAAGGGGACAGAGGATCTGAAGTGGGCTCCGTGTTGACAGTAGAGAGACCAATATGGGGCTCAAACTCACGAACCATGAGATCATGACCTGAGTCAAATTCAGCCACTTAACCGACTGAGCCACCCGGGCACCCTTAAAATAACCATTTTTATAGTATTACAATAACTATGTACTAGGTATATATGGTGAAATATATTTAATTGCTGAGAATGCGCATCCACCGGGTTAGAGCGCCATGCAAATGAGAGTGTGGGTTGTTTTTAATGGGCCAGATATCATCATCGTGTCACATGGCTCTTACATGGCTGTGTGACCCAAGAGCCATCCCAGGAATGTGTGTTATTAGTCACCATGGTAATGGCACAGCTAGGAGGGGATGGGTCATTAAAAATTCATCATCACTATTGAGTTAGAAATTAACTCAGATCACGTATCCTTCTGAGGTCAGGGCATCTTTTGCTTAGAGAAAAAGGCGACACTGAACAAAATGTAATGGATTTTTAGAAATATCTGTTACAGGCACTACATGAATTGTTTATATGTTTGGAAGAGAATGACGACAAACAGTATGGAATTTACTCTTTATCCAGGATTTTGTTATTTATTTTAACCTCACAGTAACCCTATAAGATAGGGATCACCCTCCTTGTATGACGAGAAAGGATAAAATGATCAAGGTTAAGTGACAAGCTCAAGCTCATGTAAGTATGGAACCAGGGTGCGAGTCTAGATAAGTGGTTTTAGCCAATGTATTTCTGTTTGTTTCCAAAAGTAAGAATTCATCTGCATTTTATCAAGTCACCTAATAATTCCGGGGTATGAACAGTTTCTAGACCTGAAGGACTAGGCAGCAGTGGATTCTGTGCCCTGAGAGGGAAAGCAAAATGTTCACGCTGAGGCTTCGGGCTGAAATCTTCATTTCATCTCTCTGTATTAAGTGGTGAAAAGCTGGCCAATTTGGATTGAGCTTTTTGACATTGTATCATCTTATGTCATTTATCAAGTACAAGTTCTATAGTTTTGTATGAGCAAGAGGTCCCTCCATGGAGCTTTGCCAACAGTTTTCCCTAAGGTGTTCTACAGAGTATCCGATATCAGCCTAATTATAATAAATGTGCATTTCTCTCTGTTAACAGGACCATTGCCAACTATTTGGTGTGGAGGATGGTTTACTCCAGAATTCCAAACCTTAGCAGGCGCTTTCAGTATAGGTGGCTTGAATTCTCGCGGGTAAGTTTGAAGAAGATTATCATTGGATAACTTACACATGCCAGAACAGTCGTGTATTAACTAATCCAATAAAAATCATTTTTAGGGATGGGGCAGAGGGAGTTTTGCAGCCCAAGTTCTACTTTTTTCTCTTTTTGCTTTATTTCTTTTTATTAAGTTAAACCTTATGTACTTACTGTAAAGCACACTCAAGCTGTACTTTGATGAGGCCATGTAAAGATATTTGCAGCAATATTTGGGACAATCTTACTGTTTTTTTTTTTTAATTTAATTCCAAGTTAGTTAACATATAATGTAATAGTAATTTCAGGAATAGAATTTAATGACTCATCATCACTTACATATAACACCCAGTGCTCATCTCAGCAAGTGCCCTCATTAATTGCCCATTTAGCCCATCCCTTCCCCCAACACCCTGCTAGCAACCCTCAGTTTGTTCTCTGTGTTTAAGAGTCTCTTAGAGACCATCGTATTGTTTCCACTCCCTCTTATCAACTTATTCCCATTTTTCCCGATGTTTTTAACTGGGTCACTTTAATTACAATATTAATATATCTTAGTGATCTGTTGATCTGTTTGTAACTATTTTTCATTTTCGGTATTCTGAATATTCAAAATATACATGATAAACATATTAGATGGTGAAGTTTCATCTTCAGGGATAGGTTTTGGTCTTTAACTTTATCTTGACTTTCGTTCAGTCTTTGATATTATCCTAATTCTGCTAGGCCAAAGAGACCTAAATTTCCTCAGAGACCTGGCTCAACTGCCTGAAACACTTTTCCTCTCTCCTCCTGACCTGGTTCTTTGATCTTTGCTTCTTTCCCTCTCTTGTTTTCCTCTTCACTTACATAGGTGTTACTTTGTTTTTGTGTCAGAAGCTTTTGTGTAATTTTCCAATTAATAGAGGACTAATGATTTTGTGGCTGTCTTTTTTTTGCATTTTAAATAGCTTGTGACTTATAAAAAGTATTTTAAATTTATTGTTCTCTCAATTAGAAGTGAATGACAAATTTTATAAGCAGTGATTTCATTTCACAGACGTTTTGGTTATTAGAAGTGAGTACAGGAATTTTTGGTGGGTCATTACTACTAAGCAATAACACAATTGTTTTGGATACATTTTGGCCCTCAAAGTCACTAGATTATTGACCTTTTTGCCGAACAGCATAAACCAACTATATTTTGAGGCCATATCAAAGGGTTAAGCTACAAAAGAAGTAGATTTTATATTTATATATAAACGTGTGTGTGTGTGTGTGTGTGTGTTTAACTCCTGTGGATCACATAGAAGATAGTACCCAGCTGCTTTGGAACTGTACTGTGAAAAGAATGAGAGAGAATGGTGTAAGAAGTAGTGTGTGAAAATCTGAGGTTAGGTATGATTAGGGATGTTTCTTGAGTGTAAAGTGCTAAATATGACCTTGAATTGCCAAAGATAGTTGTAGGATCTCTTTCTCTAGAGATTTTCAAAATAGATTCATTGCTTACCTGTGAGAGAAACTGTGTTGCCAGAAGGAAGGGGAGGAGTAGATGAATTCTAGTGTTAACCCTGTCTGCTGTGCACCAGCAGTCTGGCTGGAACATTGTTTAGGAGGCTCCTTGCACTATATACTAACTTGGATGTAAATTTAAAAAATAAATTAAATAAAAATTAGAAAAAAAGAAAAGGCGCCCCCACCATGCTCAGTGCCTCCCTTCCTTGCTCCTTGCCTTCAGTTTGCATTTCCAGCACTGAACTTCGAACCTCCAAGGACGATTTAAACAATATTTATTTCTTTACTTTCATCACCAAGAGTAAACCTTTGAACCTTCCAAGTTCTGCTTTGGAACCTCCTTACTTGTTTGTAAATGTTTTCTTGTAATGGCTTAATTGGGACAGATGGAAAAAGCATTTACATCTGTTTTTCACTTGGTTCTGGGTGTGTCCTTTGCTATGACACAATGTAAATATGCCTTTTGTGTTGTTCACAGTGGGCCCTGTTCTCAATGGACTTACTTGTAAGTGTACTGCCCAGAGCGGGGGAAGCCCTCACTGGGCAGGAACTTTGATCACTGGTTGATATTAGACTTTCCTAGCAGAACTTCAGTTATCAGTAGGTGTTAAAGACTATTTAGACACTTCATTTAAGGGGAAAATTGAAAGGAAGGGATAAATACATTATTTTCACCGTCAAAATATTTTCATTTACTTTTAAATATAACTAGAGACAAGCAGAATTTATTTCTTCATGTCATTTCACCATTGGCCCTACCATCTGATGCACGTATGTGGGTTGGGGTGTGCATTGTGTTGTAGACTGTTTCCTTCATGTTGTTTGAATTTTGTTCAGCAAAAGGTTTTATCCAAGCAAACCCCAATCTGGATCAATTATTTCCCACAGGTAATTCAGGGGACCACGACTTTGTTGCCTCAGTGGGACAAATGTGTAAACTTTATCGAAAGTGCCCTCCCTTATGTTGTTGGAAAAATGTTTGTGGATGTGCACTTCAAGGAAGATAAGAAGGAAATGGTAAGTGCTGCCCCCCCAACTGGTAAAAACAGTGGCAGTCCACCAGATCTCATATGGATGTGGTCAGCAGGCTGGTGTCAGCCTTCTAGCTCTTGAAGTGATGGATCTAGAAAGATAATAATAGTTTGGTTTCAAAGAGGAATTCCTACAGTACAATATTAACTAAAAACTCAAACCTAGAATATAGCCGTGGAAATTAAGAAAATTTAGAAGTGAGAAAACAAGCATGAAATCATGTCACCTAGAATCTGAATTTCTCCTGGGGAAGTTAAATGTGTAAAATCAATGCTTAGGAACAGAGACAGCCTAGACAATTTTATGATTAGATACTAGACTAGTGTAATTACAAAAGGTAAAGCTTTCCTAATCAGCCTTCTTTGTTATAGAGATGAGGAAGCTGGAGACCCAGAGGTGAAGTGATTTGTAGTATATTTAACAACTATTAAATGGTTTAGAAATAGAAATAAAATGCAGGTTTTTTTTTCTACTTATGCTGTTTTCTGGAAGCTTCACAACGTTGACATTTATTTCAGAGATGACACTCTGTGTCTATTTTTTCATTAACTTAAGAAGAAATCCATTTATTTCAGAAATTCCTAAGCATATACAAAAAAGGAATGAGGAGTGTAATGAGCTTTCCTGTACCTGTGATCTGTGGTGATTTGTAGTTGCTGTAATCGCATAATGGCCCAACCAGATCTTTCTGCTAATAAAACATGAGATTTAGTTTCATTCACCTACTCAACAGATACTTGTTGAATACCTATTATATGCTAGGCACTGTTCTAAGGGACTTGGGATACAGCAGAGAACAGATCAAAGATTCCTGACATCATTGAGTCTGATCAGTGGGGGGACAGACAAATGTGTTGCAAGATGGGTAAACCCTAGAAAAAAGAAAAAAAGGAAATCAGAGTAGAGAGGAATTGGGAGAGCTGTAAGGTGAGGGTGTGTTGGGGGCGGTGGTTGTAGGATTAAATAGGGTGGACACAAAAAGCCTCACTGTGAGGATGACATTTGGCAAAAATTTGTAGAATGTGAGACTTAGATGTGGTATCTATCTATTTTAGTGTGGTAGGTGGAAGGATTAGCTAAGGCAAAATTCCTATGGCTGGGAGGTGCCTAGGTGGCTCGGTCAGTTAAGAGTCCAACTTCAGCTCAGGTCATGATCTCATGGTTCATGGGTTTAAGCCCCACATCGGGCTCTGTGCTGATAGCTCAGAGCCTGGAGCCTGCTTTTCAGATTCTGTATCTCCCTCTGTCTTGTGTGCTCTCTCTCTCTCTCTTTCTCTGTCTCTCTCAAAAATAAATAAACATTAAAAAAATTAAACAAAAGTCCTATGGCTGGGTTGTGCCTGGAAGGCTCAAGGAATAGCAGGGAGAGCCAGGGGGCTGGAGCAGAGTGAGTGAGGGTAAGAAGTAGGTGCCGCAGGCAGAGCAGTAGTAAGAGGATGGTAGCATTTTGTAAGGCCTGTGGACCACTGTGGACTTTAATCCTGAGTGCAGTGGGGAGCCAATGCAGGCATTTGAGCAGAGGCCTAATGTAACCTGACTTATGTTGACTCCTTCTGTGTTGAGAAGAGACTAGGGAGTCAAGGACAGAAGTCAGCAGACTAGCTAGAAGACTATTGGAGGGACCAGGTGAGAGATGATGGTAGCTTGAGCCAGGTGGTAGCAGTGGCAGTTGTGGAAAGAGATTAGATTCTGAATATATTCTGAAGTAGAACCAACATAATTTGCTGACAGATTCATTAAGGGATCCAAGAGTGAGAGCTTTGAGTCTTATTCAGTGGAAGCATGGGGTTGCTCTTAACCGAGAAGAAGAATGCTGTGGGAAACCAGGTTTGGGTTTGGGAGAGATCAGGGAGTTAGTTGTGACCATGTTGAACTTGAGGTGTTATCAGACTTCCAATTGGAGATGTCAAGGAAGCAGTAGGGTATGAGTCTTGACTTGAGGACAGAGGTTGGGATTTATAGTTGGAGGAGAGAGGAAAAGATACGAAATAGTTGTCCAGGGGAGCAGGAAAGTGAGTAAACTGAGGAAATATGGTTGCCCAGAGGCAGTAAGGGTCTAGATGCAGCTGGAGGTTATGAATTTAAAGAATCCTCACCTTTGCGGTGTGTTCTTCTTCATTTGTTTCAGCTGCACTGGAGGAGAGGGTATATTTTGAATTAGAAATTTAGATTTAGCCACGGTGGGTTTTTTTTGGGGGGGTGTGTGCATTTTCTTTGTGATGCATTATGGTTTACAAATGTCATGAAGCAAAATACCAAGGCATAATTAACTGGTGTAGGGGAGGAAAAAGAATTTTCCTCCACCCCTCTAGATTCTTGAGACCCCACTGTGATAAAAGATTAACAAGAGAAAAACAAACAAGTTTAATAATGTGCATATCTCTTAATTACAAGGAAGAGACCCAGGAAAACTGAGGAACTCCTAGAAATGGCTCAAGCCATGGCTTTAATTACCATCCCCAGCTAAGGAAAAAGATGAGAAGATGTGGGGACAGGGGTGGGCAGGCTGGTTTGGGTAGGTTACCTGGAAAAGCACAGTAAACACAGGGAAGGTTATTCTGCAGATTTAAGTCCATGCTTTCTCCATTGATCAAAGTTTCTAGAGATAGAGTCATCCTCCTCTTGCTGGTACAGGGAGGAAGATGCCCTTACATTGGAGATTTCCCTCATAAATGTTAATTTCTCTCACAAAAGAATAACTTCTACTCTGTTTTGAGAGATTCCCGTGTCTGCACCTTCTCAAAAATAATCAGACCAAAATAAACAGTATGCCAAAGAGGTGTATTTTGGGGTGGTATATTTTGCTCCCCTTCACTAATAACAATCTGTTGTAGTCATTCAGATACGAATACATGAGCAACTTGGATGCAGGAGGTCCACAAACACTGATTTTAAAGGCAAACGCATAAAGCCGGTTTAGTCATGACAATTCAAATGGTTGGTATTATGTGCTGCTATATAGTACCAACTGTGTGGTATTATGTGTTGATACGGTTGGGGAGGAAGAATTTCCTCTGCCCTTCAAGGTCCTTTTAGGTGGACCAAGAATCAAATTGACATGAGACAGATTAACAGGAGAAATCCACGTTTAGTTTTATATGAGAATCCACACAGACATGACATTTTAAAGACCAGCAAGATGAGGCTTCTAGGACCTCCTGAGCTCAGGACAGGGACATGTTTGGAAAACAAAGGTGGCCCTGCTGTACGAATAGATTACTCAGGTACTGAGGAGTCTTTGTTACTGTCTTCCAGGTACAGGCTCCCCTTTCCAATGTAAATGTGGGCAGCTGAGGGGTAAGGTAAAGAGCTTTTCTGAATCTGCTAGGTTTTGATTGCTTTTGACTCAAAATAATCTTGCCAAAGTGGCCCATCTTCGGGCTGTTTGCCCTTGGCCCGTACGATACATAACTATGTATTTCCTGAAGTTTGCCTTGGAATACCATAAATCTAAGTATATTTACCAGGATTATGGCTGTTTTTTTGATACTTTGGAGGAATTTTCTGCCAAGTTTGAGACTATATTTGAACCTGCAAGTTTCCTTGCAAATAATTCCACTGGAGAATTAATGTCTTATTTCAAAATACTCAATATTCCCATTGTGTGTTTTCTTTCACTCCTTGCTTAGAGTAAATGGATTGGGAATTTATCAGATATTCACAGAGGTAACATTATAAGCTCTGGGAAGGATATAAAAACAAGGCATAACGAAGGTTTTTTTTGTTTTTGTGTATTCTTTTTTTGGCAGTAGAAGTGTTTTAAGTAATATGAAAGGTATGTGGATTAATTTGTTTTTCTCAGTTTTGGTATGACACTCCCCTTTTCATGTGTCAGGGTGCAATATTCTAAAATAAAGTGGATTTTGGCCCTTTTCCCCCTTATTTTGATATACACGGGACATGGAAGTGGTGGGATAGTAACGCAGATACTCATCTATTTTACATAAATTGTTTGCCTCCCTTAAGCTGAGCGATTTGCCTCAGGGACTACTTAAGTTGGAAACTTATAAGAGAAATACCTGGCTTTTTATAGCGTTGTTACAGGGCTCTCATCCAAGAGCCACCTGGAACCACTGATTTACTTGAAAAACATTCTGTGTTATTAACTACAGCCCAAAGGAGAAAAAAAGAAAAAAAAAAAAACAACCCAGAAAGATCCCCAGTGGGACAAATTCCAGAGACTCTAACTCAGAAGGAAGGCTGCCATTGTTTGATTTACAAAAAAGATCGCTAAGCATATGAATACATTCAGAAGGTTACATTTCAGGTACTTGTCAGACTATAATGTGTACACCAATCAAATGAGGATCTTGTAAAAATGCAAAATCTCATGGCATTTTACCAAGGATCTTTTTACCTTAGGTCTGGGTTAGGACCTAAGAACTTGCATAACAAGCTCCCAAGTCGTGCTGATGTTGCTGGTCCAGGGACCACACTTGGAGTAGCAAGACCTTTGTATCATTTATTTTCTTAGGTAGTTACCACCAGACTCTCGTTCCTGATGATTAATGTGAGCAGGGTCTGCTGGTGACTCAGACTGCAGTACTTTGTTTACCTAAGCTTGTTGCATTAATGCAAGTAACTGCTTCAGTTTTTCAAATCATTGAAAATTTCCTTGTTTACATTGTTTGAAATGGACTTTGTCAAACCCTGTGTGGGGGCCTCCAGGCTTCTTGTTTGTTTGTTTTTTCCCCTTTAACTGATTAGTTTTCCTTTGAAAACTGGTACCTAGGTTCTTCCAAGGGACTTCCTACTTCTCAGTATCTGTTTCTATAGCCTCTTAATGGTGGGATTGGCCCAATGACCTGAGCAGTTCACTTTGAGGTTTTCTTTGTAGAGGAGAAAGCCCGTCCCCCCACCGCCAACCAAGGTTCTCTTCACTGGGGAAAACACACAATTCCAAGTTGCTGTTTCTTTTCCATTTCCCATATGCAAGTGTGCATGTTCACACAGGCACACACATACACATTCAGACTAATTCACTC